AGTGGCACCTTTAAGATCAAGTTTTATTCAGGTACAAGCTCTCCCTCCTCTGTGAGGGCAGATCTGCATGCCCCCCCATAGCTAGCAATCCAGAATAGTCCAGTGGCAACTTTAAGACCAAGTTTTATTCAGGTACAAGCTCTCCCTCCTCTGTGAGGGCAGATCTGCACGTGTCCCCCCCCCCAACAGCTAGCAATCCAAAATCATCCAGTGGAGCCTGAGCGGTGGTTTTGCCTTCTGACACACTTCCGGTGATGTCAGGGAGTGTGGCATATGCAAATAAGTCATGCTAATGAGTTATGCGAATGAGCTCCTGCACCTCTTTTTCTACGAAATGACCCCCGGGAGGACGGAGGGGGGAATTGGTCACCTCACCCCCCACAACAGAACTCTCGAAAATATGGGGGACGCCTTCGATGGATGAGGTGCGAGAACCTGGGGGGCAGGAAGGGGCGCCCCCAGGGGGCCTCACTCACCGCTCCCATTCCTCTTCCGCCTCCTCCGCCGTCAGGGTGCGGTGCTTGGCGACGGGCGTGAAGTTGTACCAGTTGTTGACCGGGAAGGCTTCGAAAGCGCCGTCGGCACACTGGGTGAAGATGTAGTAGGAGGTGTTCTCCGTCACGCCCCCTTTCTTCACCCCCTTGAACCTGAGACCCAAAAAGAAACCGCTTCAGAGGCACTCACTTCGGCGCACAGGAGAATCCGCAGAGGAATGCTCGGGGAAGGGCCGGGAGGGCGGGGGAGGGAAAGGCACCCCTCCAGGCATTTACAGCTGGGACTGCACACACAAGACCTCGTAAGTCTTCCCCATCCGTTTGTCTCCCATTGACCAATAGTTCAAAAGTTCTCACGACTACTGAAAAACTGAAAGACACACAGAGAGGCTCTGAATTTGGAAATGGTTCGAGCACCTTCCTGACTTGGATGGCTAGCCCAATCTTGCCGGCTAAGCAGGGTTAGGCTTGGTTAGTCCTTGGATGGGAGACCACCAAGGAAGTCCAGGGTTGTTACGCAGAGGCAGGCAACGGCAAACCCACCTCTGTTTGTCTCTTGCCTTGACCTGGGTGGCCCAGGCTAGCCCGATCTCGTCAGATCTCAGAAGCTAAGCAGGGTCGGCCCAGGTTAGTCCTTGGATGGGAGACCACCAAGGAAGTCCAGGGTTGTTACGCAGAGGCAGGCAACGGCAAACCCACCTCTGTTTGTCTCTTGCCTTGACCTGGGTGGCCCAGGCTAGCCCGATCTCGTCAGATCTCAGAAGCTAAGCAGGGTCGGCCCAGGTTAGTCCTTGGATGGGAGACCACCAAGGAAGTCCAGGGTTGTTACGCAGAGGCAGGCAACGGCAAACCCACCTCTGTTTGTCTCTTGCCTTGACCTGGGTGGCCCAGGCTAGCCCGATCTCGTCAGATCTCAGAAGCTAAGCAGGGTCGGCCCAGGTTAGTCCTTGGATGGGAGACCACCAAGGAAGTCCAGGGTTGTTACGCAGAGGCAGGCAACGGCAAACCCACCTCTGTTTGTCTCTTGCCTTGACCTGGGTGGCCCAGGCTAGCCCGATCTCGTCAGATCTCAGAAGCTAAGCAGGGTCGGCCCAGGTTAGTCCTTGGATGGGAGACCACCAAGGAAGTCCAGGGTTGTTACGCAGAGGCAGGCAACGGCAAACCCACCTCTGTTTGTCTCTTGCCTTGACCTGGGTGGCCCAGGCTAGCCCGATCTCGTCAGATCTCAGAAGCTAAGCAGGGTCGGCCCAGGTTAGTCCTTGGATGGGAGACCACCAAGGAAGTCCAGGGTTGTTACGCAGAGGCAGGCAACGGCAAACCCACCTCTGTTTGTCTCTTGCCTTGACCTGGGTGGCCCAGGCTAGCCCGATCTCGTCAGATCTCGGAAGTAAGCAGGTCAGCCCTGGTCAGTCGATAGACGGGAGACTCCCGATGAAGCCCAGGGTTGTTATGCAGGCTGCCTCTTGCCTGGAGGACCCGGCGGTGTGTGTGTGGGGGCTGAGTTGGCTGCAACTTGATGGCCCATTCCGCCACCACAAGCGCCATACAAACCAAAACAGCCATTCTGAAGTCCCAGGTTTGGCCACTACGTCCCCAAGTCTGGAGTCAGAACAAAGCAGGCCGTCTGAATAGAACCGCGCGCTTTAATTGCGCTAACTGCACCACAAGCAGAGGCTCATTTTAACGGTTGCGGTCATGCATTTATTCTATTGAATAAATAGAGCACAGGTTCTATTGATATTAATTCTGTCAGTTAGCCACAAACTCCTCAGTCTGCCTCTCTAACATTAAGTCAAGATATGGACATTTGTTTGGAATTCTGGTTGCAAACTGTGGAATTCGGGGCCGCGGCTTTCTAGACCTGCCTTGTAAGACGTAGGGAGCAATCCTCAGCTGGTCTACTCAAAAGCAAGCCCTATGTTATTCAATGGCACTTATTCCCAGGAACAAGTCTTTGAGAATTGCAGCCTTAATTTACTCCGCTCCTTATTCACAAAGCTGGAGACCCCAGTAATGCTCCCTCTAAGCGGTGGAGTCTCGTGAGCAAAAATTCTACTTTGTGAGCTACTGGCATTAAAGTTGTGAGCGAGCGATTGGGCTGCTGCATAAATTAGTTTGCTCTGGAGCCCCATCCGTCCTAAGCTAAGAAAAAATGTCTGAGACGGAGGCTAAAAAACTGCGAGCTGGCTCACACTAACTCAGCTTAGAGGGAACACTGGTTCCACCCCCAGGGAAAGCAGCGAGAAGAGCAAGAACGAAGCGAGACAGAAACGGAGTAAAAATCAGGCAAATCAAGACGTGCAAACACCCAGTGACTCACTTGCGGCCGGCTTTGCCGTTGACTTTCAGAATCCAGGGCTGGTCTTCCAGCTTGAACTCTTTCAGGACGATGCCGTACTTCTTGCGACGCGCCTCCTCACGCAGCTTGCGGTTGAACTCGCTGCCGGCTCCCGACTCCGGCAGCTCTTCCTCCTGATAGATCTTCTTGTTGCTCAGATCTCGCTCCATCTTGGCCTGGGGAGGGGAGGGAAAGGAGGCGCTGAGAAGACTGTCTAGGGCAGGGGTGTCAAACTCATTTGTTACGAGGGCCGGATCCGACATAAATGAGACCTTGTCAGGCTGGGCCACGTGTGTCATAAAAGGTAACATGAGGTACCGGAGATATAAACTTTATAAAGGGCACAAACACAGACGGTTTTTTTAAAAAAACTTAAAATAAAAAACATGCTTAAAACACCAGCACTCTTGCGATATTTTCTTTATTTAACTGTGTCTGATAAAACTGACACCTCTTGCTCTGAACTATTGCATCAAAATGTCTGTGCTGCTGTAATCCTGAGTGTATGGTGCTCAGGGGTGTATCTGTAAGCTGCAAACCTACGATGATGCAGCAGCGGCAGAACTGGAAGAAGCAGCAGAAGACAGCCAGTTCCACTGTGGGCCTGATGGAAGCCCTCCGGGGGTAGAGATGTGAAGGCCCGGGAAAAAACCGGGGGGAAATTTTTCCTGAAGCCTTTTTTGTTTTTTTCCAAAAAAATGCAAAAAAGACAAGACAAGAAATTGATTACGGAACGTTTTATTTTAACATGATTAATAGAATATTTTAAGACAAGGTGTCCAAATATTTTCCAAATCATTTCTAAAAAAGATGTATGGTACCAGATTGATCTAATTTCTGTGCACTGAGGACAAGCAAGTCCTAGGTTACAAACTGAACTCTCCAATGCAAGAACAAGATGCCTTTCTGCCTTTAGGAGGTGCTATTGTCACAAGAAAAGGAA